GACCATTAAAAATCAAATGAAGAAGTCATAAGTAATAGTTAAAAATGATTGAGTAGAATCTTCATATAGATACTGGTGACATTAGTAGCGTCTTTTGCGCCATTTAATGTAGATCTTACCATAAATACGATCAAAATAACGACCGCTACTAAAATTGCCAGTAACCTTAATGAGTTAGCCCAGTGCTCAGGGCATTATGTACATTAATAATCATTATCTCTTGAGAAGCCCTTTTCGCAATCAGCACACAGAATGCCTCTGTATCCTCTAAGGCAATCTCCGATTGGATTATAATTAGGAGCAATCATTCCAAGACAAGCTTTCTAAAACAGACATTTTTCTATATTCTTAGTCATATTACTCTATCTCCAGTATCCTGGTAAGGGACCAATATTAGCTCCGCCCAAACACACTGCTTTTTCAGAAGGACAAATCTCGCAAGAACCAGGTTCTTTCATCTATTTTAAAGAATAGCTATCATCACATTCCTGGCATTTACCAACTGATGTGAATTGCTCTCCAATTTAACATTCTCTTAGCTTTAGATCTAATAAGAAGTTAAGATCGCTACTACTCAATTTTTGTAAAGATTCCTTGTTTGATAGTTTAGTTAGATCAATACCATCAGTTGAAAATGATATTTAATAATTGCTCCCCGGATTCCCAGTAATTTAAACGTTATCTATTACTGCTATTCCTCCATAAATAGAAAAATCACTACTGCCTTCTAGAATAGGTGGATACATACTTGCTTTTTAGTCTATAATAATAGGTTAACACTTAATTTAAAATATTTATTTCTACCTAAATTGCTCGTTTAAACTGAGATCCTAACTTTACTTTAAAAATCAGAACCTACAATCTGACCATATTTGTCTATTAGCGCCATATATATGATTGGTATAGATCCTCCACTTCTCTAATTATCAAATGTCTAATTAAACATTATTTTTTCTGAATTTGATTATTCAAGCATTCTAAAGTCAAAATCATCTAATGTGTATAGTCCTAATTTAATCATTTGCTCTTTATATTAATATTTTGAAAGTGAGCCAAGGTTTTATGCATAACATGCCATATTGTCTCCATACTTTGCAGAGTTATTTATGAAATTAAGATTAGAATTATTATAAATAGGCTCAAGTGAATTCCAATATATAGCTCCACCTTATATAAGAGCATCATTTGATTTAAACATGTTTATACCATAAAAAGTTAGTTTGCAGTTCAAAATATTATTATCGCATGTATAATATATGGCTCCACCAGATCCTGATGATGAAACCTAAGTTTATTATTCTTTAATATTTATTGCTTTATTCCAAATAAATTAACTATCCATCACTAAAATTGATTAGGCGTTTTCAGTCATTATTGCTCCTCCTACTTAAGCTGAACAGTTATTAAAAACTGAGTTAACTATATAATATTTTCTGTTTTTCTCAATGTCTGTGTTTCCTTTATTTAAATCAGAATCAATAATGTATATTGCACCCCCATATGCTGATCTTAAATTACTAAAAATCGAATTTCTTATTTCTAAACTAGTACAATATTGGCAATTTATCCCTCCACCTCTTTAAGAATGAATATTTTCGTAAATATCTTAAATTGTCAAGTCAACTGCATATAATTTAGCTTACTCGATATAAATGGAATTCTTAGCATTAACATTAGATATTTGTACTTTATTCAAAGTCAAAGTATTTACTGAATTTGTTAGATAAATGTCCTCTCCTGAATCAATTGCGAAATTGTCTTTTAAAATTGTATTATTTCCAATATAAATAGACTTAAAGTTTGAAGCATATATCGCTCCTCCCTTTGATCTGGCTCTATTATTTTGAAAAGTAGTTTACTAAATATCAATATTACTATCTCCTGAAATAAATATTGCACCTCCTAAATTAGACATACCATTCCAAAACTAGGATTTGCTTAATTTCATGTTAACATTGAATATCAAAAAGATATAGGAGCCGGTTGTTTCTTCATCTTGCAATTGCAATAAGTAATTATTAGGTATTTAACTTATAAATAAGGTCTTCTCAATAGTTATATTTGCGAACCCACAAAGTATTCCTTTCGTTCTTTCTCGGGCAATATTATTTTTAAATTGTGAATCTGAAATAAAAATGTTTGCATAAACAAAGGATAGAGTATTTCTTGTTGAATAGTTAAATTCAAAAATAGATTTTTCAATCTTTATATCGTAATTTAGGTTGGCTCCAAGCACATCAATGACTGAATTGTCTGAAGCTACATTTTTTGTGAATTCTGATCCTTATATTTGTAAAATAGACTGCGTTGACAAGAATATTACACCACCTGATTCTGAAGCATAATTTTATGAGAATTAACAATTTATTATAGTCAGATTAGAGTATGAAACCATATAAAAGGCACCTCCTAATTTAGCCTGATTGCTGCTAAATTTAGATTAGATTAATTCACTTTGACTTTCTTAACTATTGATAACACCACCATATTATCCTGAGTTGTATAAAAATTTTGATTTGAAATCACTGAATTTCGTTTTAGTTAAGGTAAATACACCTCCTAATGAAGAAGTTCCACAGTACTAAAATGAATTTTAAGACGATTAAAGCTGTTTAGCATTAGATACATAAAACTGAGTATCTGAGTCGCTTAAATAATTTCTATCAGTAAGCTAAAAGGACTTGTTTTTGAAAGTTTCCAGATTATCACAAATAAAAATCGAGTTAGCAATGTTTATAGTAATTGTGTCAGCTATAGAATATATTAATGCACCATGAGCAGATTTAAAAGAATCGAAGTTAGAATTTTAGATTAAAAGCTTGAGTCCACTTTGCAAACTAATGAAACCTCCATTTTAAGTAGAATAAGCACTTGAAACAGTTATATTTTGCAGGGTAATACTTGCACTTGGATTAACAGAATAAATAAAGCCACCTCTTTCTGCCTAATTATTAGATAACTTGTTTGAATCTTTTAGGATAAAAATTGATTCTGCATCTGATTATTTATTGTTTAATCTTAGATATATGAAACCTCCATCACGTAAAGCCTTATTATTGATAATTGTTATATTAATTAGTATGACTTATACAGTGTTATCAGTAAAAATACATCCTCCTTGATTAGCTACATTATTTTTAAAAATACTATTTTCCATTTTAATTGTGCAGTTGTTGCAGGAAAAAACTCCTCCTTAAGATGCAAAGTTGTTTTAAAATGTAGATTGATAATCATCAAATCCTGTGTTTACAAGATGAATAAATTAACCATCATTTGATCTCTAACACTATCTAAAATTAGATGAATAAGAATGATAACCATATACAGAATCTTTCATGTAAAATACTCCAAGATTCAAATCTTCATTTAGTATAGGAGAGTCAGTTATCTCTGATGAGCATTCAATTGCTTAAATGTTAATGATAGTAAAATTTAATTAAGGCCGAACGCTATATAGAAATTAAGTCTATCCCTCTACTGCTTAAAAATCTCCAATATATGAGTTTTTAATAATAACTTAGTTTACGGTATCTATAATCTAATATGGATCTAAAGTTAAAGTTATCAATCCTTATTACTGTTGAAATACATTGGTAATATTTTTAATTATTACCTCATCTAAATACATAAAATCAAAACCTCTTATAGCTATAAAAAAAGAGTATTCATGATCTATGATGATATCTTAGAAAATACTTTTCTTTATTATAAATTCAGTAGGTCTAAGCATATCTTCACGTGTGATATCAAAGAGACCTCCATATTTTCCTTATATAGCTCTTAAAGTTACATTGCTTAATGAAAGTATTGAATCAAACAACTGAAAAAGTGAATTAATCAAGTTATAGACATCAATAATTTCTACATTTGCCAAATAGAGTTACTAGTCTATTCCATAGTAAAATCCCTTTGCTATAATATTTGTAAATGTTGAATTGTGAATAATGATTGTATTTTTTTCGAGATTAGCTACTATTATCTATTATTATTAGCCTCTAATATCACAATTTTAAACTGTAAAATTGTTCAATTGGAGTTATCCAAAATTTATAAGTATTAGTGAGGAGATTAACCTTGAATCTTCGTAAATTTATTGAAAATCATCAAGAATAACCTATTGGACTAATCGTTCATCATATGAGTCTGGACCACCATAACTGAAGCAATCAATGTTAGTGTTACTTAGATAAGCCGATTATTGCAAATTCCGAATATATAAGAAACTAGACTCTTGCCTGCCTATTGGATTATATAACTAGTTATCATGTAATTCAACCATAACTGCGTTTTAAATATAGATACTTGAATCTGTTATGACTGATGTATAATTCATATATAGTCTTTCAGATATTAGTACTCCATTTATATTATCAAAGTAGAGGAAGCATTTCAATTAAGATTTAGTGCTTTCAATAGTAACATCTTTCATGTAGAAATTAAAATATCTAGGTTCAATTTCATTTTAGTACTAACTTGTGTAGTATATTGCTCCATTAAAAGTAGCCTAACTGTGTCTGATTGTAATGTTAGATAATTTGATATCATCTTTAATTTAATCAATATAAATCACAGATCCTGAATCAGAAGCAACATTATATTCCATAGATATATTATTTAGAGTTAGAGAGTAAATATCTTTCATGTACATTACTCCTCCATAATTAGCAACACTATTTCTATAGGTTGAATCAATATCCTAGAAACTAGAGTTTATAACAGCAATAACTCCTCCAAACTTTGAATAATAATTATTAAAGAATTGATTACTCATTAAAAGTAATGATTCTGCATTTTTAACGTATATTGCACCAAAACTTTCTTATTAAGAAAGTTGTGTATACTCACCCTAACTAGGAACTACAAATTCTTTATTTTTATCAAATTTTGAGCTGGAGATTTGAATTACAGTATCTGCTCCGACACTCGATAAAAATGAGCCACTAATACTTTAATACTGGGTGAAGTTTGAATTTGCTATTGATATCGATCTAGAATTTTCTGAATGTATAAATCCCCCCATCTGCTTATAAGATCTTGAGTTTTACTGAACTACATTCTAAATCTCTACATTAAAATCTTTTGAATCTATGTATATCACCCCTCCAAAATTGTATGCATAGATCTATTCTATCTTCATTTATGTAAGTATAAGCGATTAGATAAGAGGTATATCTAAATTTAGCATTTATTCCTAAATAGAACTTGAAGGATCACTTAAAACAAAAATAAAACCACCATTATTGTACGCATATGAATTGTAAATGTAACAATCATTAAACTAGATGTTAGAAGAACCGTTAACTGAAATACTACCACCATCATATGCAAAATTATAAGTAAAATTAGTTTGACTAAATACAGCTAAGCAATTCTCACAATGTATTGCACCACCACTCAAAGCTTAATTGTAAGAGTAACTGGATCCTTAATCAGTTATTGATGAATTTTTAAGATTAAACACACCACCGATCGACTGGTAATAGCAATTTGAAAAATTGCTCTAACTAATAGTAATTTCTCCGACATTATTGATATCAAAGGGCGATGGAAATTAAAAATTGAATTATTCTGTAAAACTGGGAGAATTTTCTTCCATTAGCTAAGTTGAAACATATTTGTTGTCAAACTATAACTCTTAACACTTAAGTTGAATTTAATCTATCAAGATACTATTACCTTGCTCAGTTTTAATAATTTATGATTTATTGATATTTTTAATGTTAATAGATTTTAAATCAAAAGCGTTAAATTTCTTAAGATAGAAAAGTGTATTTTAGTTTTCTTGATTTTTAAACAAGAAATTGTCCATTTCTACTGTAATAATTGCATTATCTGATTCACATTGAATAAATATAAAGATTCCAATTCCTGAAGAAAGGTAAGCAGAATCAATAATAGATTATAACCATTAAAAATCATAATTAGCAAGAGAATAATCATTTTATTTCAATTCAATTTTTACGATAGACTGATTTTGAGTTTACTCAATAAATATCAATGAACCATTATATAAAGCTAAATTATTATCAAAAGAAGAGTCTTAAATGATAACATTCTGTTTAGTAATATTTGAACCTAGATATACAAATCCTCCTTTACCAGCTATAAAAATATCTTTTACATGTATTTGTGATATATAAACTTCTGCATTTCCTGAAATCAGTTGTATTAAACCTCCTTATTAGGAATAAACCTAACTGAATTTAGTATTGACTATTTCAATTTATAAACTGTTTTCAATTGTCTACTACATATTTATGTAGAATATCCCCTTTATATCAATTAGTAATTGAAAACTTGAATTGTGAATGCTGATACTATGGCATAGTAATTCACAATTTTAAATGAATGGTTAAAATCTCGAAGAATCTAAACGCAATTATTTAAAAACTTATTGTGAAGCCTCATTTAGATTTTTAAGATATGTATCTAGCTCTAAATTATCTTGAAAAACTACACTATCTTATATATTTGCAAAACTGATTATACTGCCACAAGAGTTGATGTTATTAAATTAGGTATTGATTAGCTAAACATGCCCTCCATATTCATTCAATTCAATTATGGAGTTGAAATTATAGATAAAATTTTTGAAAGTTACATTCTAGAATATTTTATTACAATTAATACTTTGAGACTTACCTCTAATTTTAGATATGGCGGAGAGGTCAGCATTGTTTATAAACTAAGATCGAATAGAATGAAAGAACCAAAAGCTTAATTAATCGAGCATGATTTATTCCTATAAAAGTGTATTATTTAGAATGAATATCTTACATAAAATCGTTAATAAAACAAAATTATTGTCCATTTATGATATATTTTTATGTTTCTTAGTCAATGATTGATTAACAGCAATTATTTTATGGATCATTAACGCAATTGTATTCTTCTGATTAAATTAAGTTTAAATCTATATTCTATTCTCTTGTGTCTAATATTGAATCAATTGCATCAAATTAAATATTTCTGATTGTCAATCCTCCTCCTACATAGAACTAAAATTTATCTCTTAATTTGTAATTCATGATAACTGGAACTTAATCTATTGTGTCTATTATGATTTAAGTTGACTGAGAATTCTTATCTATGTTCTTAATGCTCTGAGCTAAATTAGCACTTTGGCGCACTGATCTATTAATAGCTAGAATATTCTAGGAGATGCTCTACAGAGAAAAATCTGTTCCAAATCATGATCAAAATCTAGTCAAGTAAACTTTTCCTGGAAGATTATGATCTTTAACTTCAGTTTGAGAGTGCCTAAGGAAGCTGAGTGATTTCCAAAAAAGCTGTCTCTGTCAAGAAATATAAGTGCATCTGATTATTTAATTCTCAAATAAATCAACCAACCTTAGTTCTTAAATATTCCAAGATTTGATTGATACCTTATCATAGAATGGGATTAGTTTGAAAATAATAAGATAGTGATTGTCGCTGATTCATAAGGTGAACCTAAAATATAAGCTGCAGTCAAGGCATCTTGCAAAGAAAGGTAAGGATTAACAATTGAACCATCTATTATTCCTGCTGTATCTAGTTTATACCTTGTTTAAACATAAATAGTACTCTCAAACTATCCTTCCTTTAGCAAGCATGTTCCAGTATTTTTACCATCTATTAAATTCAAGAAATAACCTTTCTTGCACGACTTGCATTCAAATTGAGAAGAGCATTCATAGCAAGATGAATCACAATCCAAGCATTATGATGTATCGATCATACTTTTGTAATTGAAACTAGTACTTCCATATCTCCCAATACCGCAATTAGTAACACATTATCCTGTTTTTGAATCAACGTAACCATCCAAGCAAGCTAATATTTAGTCCTGAATGACATCGACACCATTTGAATCTAGTTTAAGACTGCATTTCAATGTTTTGATTAGACTTCCAGTCTCTTAATTACATTGCTTTGATAAGTAGAATATCCATCTATACATATATCACATTGAAACTCAGATAATGCAGCTACACAAAGCTCTGGTTAAGAATCTGAAAGGTTTAATATTATAAAATGAAGACTAACTGCTCAGACAAATATCTTGATTCCTATTTGTAGTTGCATTGAAATATCCATCTATGTTCAAGTAATATCCAGGTTTGCATTACAAGCAGTTATATTGCTTCTCAAAATCAAATATCATGCAATTAATGTCACTGCTCAATTCAGATTCCGTTAATGGAACTAAAATGTTATTGAATGCATTATGCTTACTACAGGTTTATTCATAATTATTTTCTGACAAAGCTCACTAGCTTCTGCCATTACACTATGTACATATTGTAACATTTTCTGGGAGACAGGTGTTACAGTCTAAATCAGTTTAACATTCTATAGATATATTGTCATGCATTTTCATAACTTACTTGTGCATATTTAAAAATTTGAATTAAAGCTATCTAATTAGATAGGAGAGTTAGTCCATCCCTGTTAAAGATCTTGTCCCTAGCAAGCAAGACAACCTTTAGTACTATCACAATCTTGGCAATTTTAACCACACCCTATAATACTCTTAAATTTATTTTGTTACAGGTGCACATTGACGTGGCAAGATTGTTCGAAAATGATTGATGAGCTCTGGCACAATCAGGAACACATAATGAAAATTCATTTCTCAAATCACCACTGATATGAGTTTGAGTTAAAATAGAAAGTCCACTTTAACATTCTAGACATTTCAGTGAAAATCTATCAGATGTAGATTCTATTTAACAACTTTAGCATCCATTAATGATGTCTGAGCATTCTATAGAAGTTAATGATTTTATGGTATACTTCAACAGAGTTTTGATACTTAATCAAAAAACTCATAATTATTGCCTAGAAGGAATGATAAGAAACTAATTACAATCTTAAGTTTCGGCTTATTGAATAACTAACAATTGGCATATGAAATATAATGCGAATTGGAGGCAAAATTTTCTCATTTTAAATTCTATCTTAAAGAACTTCAGTAATAATAAAAATTATTAAAGCTAATTGAATTTACTTATTTACGTCTAAAACTTATTTTTTCTATCTCTTTTTGCTTTTAATGTTGCAATCGAGGGGTTTTGGGGTTTTGGGG